TGGACAAATTTGACTTGTCCAGTATTATTGACGCCTAGCGCTTTTTTTTTAATTCTGACAGTTCATTGAAACATTGTAACACAATATATGCTTGGGAATAGCAATGTTGGAATAAATTTTTGAACTTGAAATATAAACCTACGTATAAATGTACATCCACATATGTGTTTGTGTCATACTAAAGAAGCAATAGAAGTGATTTTCTTGTAATTTCCAGCTGAAAAACGGAAAAGATGTCACTCAATTCGGTAGCCAAACCAAAAGAATTCGTCCGAAATAAATAAAATATATGAACACGGTTTGCGAATCTTAAAGCTGGGATCATAATGTTATGGAATGATAAAGCAGTCAATATCAGAAACGGAAAAACGTATTAAAGACTTCACGAAATATTTTGTTGTCACGCCAAAGTTGCCAGATCTATTTTCGGATTTGAAATGTTGCAAAGGAGTATTTCAACGGAAATAGACCAGGATGTTCAAAAAATAAAAGAAAAGACGTGAAACCATCATAAAAGAAATCAGTGTAAGTTGGTACAGACAAAAGTTTTGAGAGCAAAGCGTCTGAGCGGTGCATAGAGTCGGCGGCGCCGGGCGTGCATCGCTCGATAGCGCTGACAGTGACGGATTACCATGGCAGCCCCGGTTCACGGCCGGATCCAAAGCTCACGAAACTCAGGGCTGCCAGAACTTTTACGATGTCATTTTGATACGAACTTCCAATAAGATATAATTGCTTAAGACTTACATGTTTATTCTTTCAGCTTCGATAAATAGTCTTTATACCAAAATGCAAGTAAGTACTTTTAGAGCTACAGTACTCACACACTGATTATTATCTAGCGCATTTATTATTATTATTAGAATTAGAAATTTTGAATTTATCCAAGTTCCAAACAACATTTATAACAAGATTTCCCATTGTGATGATAATGGAAAGTAGTAATTACTATTACATTACTCTTAAACGTTGGTGACTATTCAATGCTTTTCTATATTCGGCTTACTCAAAACAATTAGCTTACTCCTTCATTTCGTATATTTTCATAGAGTACGGCGTATGATATAAATTTGCACAAAAACTAATTTTAAAAAGTGCCAACCCTGTAGACGCATTTATTTCGGTATGTGATCAAAATATTTAAGAATCGATATAAGGTCGGATTTGTTCAAAACGTACAAATTATTTTTGCAGAACGAATGTAATCTTTTATCACAAATTGCATCTCTTAAGATACAAGGAGTACTAGATATGCAACAGGCAATAAATTGAGCCGCATTCCTTTTTCTTAAAATCTGTAACTATACCTTAGAACTTATATCTCAAGGGTGGCGCATTTACGTCGTAAATGTCTATGGGCTCCAGTAACCACTTAACACCAGGTGGGCTGTGAGCTCGTCCACACATCTAGCAATAAAAAAAAAAATAATTAAAAACTACAATGGACGTTTGTATTCTGTAAAATCAATAGAATAATTTGTGTGTTATAATATAAAAACGGTAATATTTATCCATTCGAGTACAATTAACACTCTTGTACAGGAGCGATCTCCCGCAGGGCGCGGTAGGGGGCATCCTTGTCAGAACTTCAACATGATGACTTTAATGTTATATTTTACATATTATTACTTGCCGCTGCTTGGTCAAGCTTGGTAATATTTACTATTTGTCACCAATCAATAGTGTTCCGTCCATGCCATTATTGTAAAGTTCAGATTTTTGAGTTCGTGTGTAGGCGTTAAATTTCGAATCTACTAAATCGATCTTGTAAATTATTTTCGAACTGGAAGCTAAAATATCTATGCGGCTCTAATACGATTTTGTTAGTTTAAGATTAGTTAGAGGTTAGTGAAAGTTGAAATAAGTGCATAAATTGTATAGAGAAAATATCGGCTTTGATTATTGTCATAAAAAGTATGATATAACTAAGTTTAATACGAGGGCTGCACTAAAAGTATCGGGAATGGAATATTTCCACTGTTCCTGTCATATTAAAATCTTTTTAATTGAAAACTCCTTGGTTTTAAAAATCGAATACCATTTATTTATTTAAAAAAAGATTCTCGGTCTTGTCACGAGGTTTTGTCAAACTTGTTTAGTCGTTGAGAAAATGGAATTGACTCGAGAAAATTCAAGAGCGATGATTTATTATGACTTTCGAAGTGGTTTAACACAAAAACAGTGTGTTGACCGGATGATTTCTGCATTTGGTGATGAAGCCCCATCCAAAACCACAATTTATCGCTGGTTTGCTGAGTTTCAACGTGGACGTGTCAAGCTCAGTGATGATCCCCGTCAAGGTCGTCCAAAAACTGCAGTCACCCAAGAAAACGTTGATGCTGTGCGTAAGCTGATTGAGGAAGATCGACATGTGACATACCGCGAAATTCAGGCAACTTTAGACATTGGCATGAGTCAAATACAAATAATCTTGCATGAACAATTAGGTGTAAAAAAGTTGTTTTCCCGATGGATACCGCATTCGCTCTGTGAAGAGCAAAAAGCGGCTCGCGTTACTTGGTGCGTCAGAACTCTCGAAAGATTCCACGCAGGATCCTCAAATGCTGTATACAACATTGTATCAGGTGACGAATCCTGGATATACGCGTACGAACCCGAAACAAAAAACCAGTCACGAGTTTGGGTGTTCGAAAATGAGTTAAAGCCAACAAAAATTGTTCGTTCACGGAGTGTTGCAAAAAAAATGGTGGCCACGTTTGTCTCCAAAACCGGCCATGTTACGACTATTCCTCTTGAGGGACAAAGAACGGTTAATGCAGAATGGTATGCTAGCATTTGTTTGCCACAGGTCGTTTCTGAACTCCGTAAAGAGAACTGCAACCGCCGCATCATCCTCCATCACGACAATGCGAGTTCTCACACCGCGCACAGAACAAAAGAGTTTTTAGAGCAAGAAAACATAGAATTATTAGACCATCCGCCGTACAGCCCCGACCTAAGCCCTAATGATTTCTATACTTTCCCTAAAATAAAGAATAAATTGCGTGGACAGAGATTTTCATCACCTGAAGAAGCTGTGGACGCCTACAAAACGGTCATTTTGGAGACCCCAACTTCCGAATGGAATGGTTGCTTCAATGATTGGTTCCATCGTATGGAAAAATGTGTCAAATTTCGCGGAGAATACTTCGAAAAGCAATAAATACATTTTTAAATAGTAATGTTGTGTCACTTCGTTAATTCCCGAAATTTTCAGTGCTGCCTATGTATTTAAATCATAATGACCGGTTTTATGCGATAAAAAATACGAAGTTCAGCTTAGATATGGTTATCAAAAATGGTTTTGGTACTTTAGGTATAAATCCTGACAGGAAATCTTAGGATAATTGAATTTATCTTTGAAAGTTTGTATTTTATTTAATGGAATAGATTAATTAAAAGGTAGACGAAGAGGGAGAGGTAGACCTAAGAAAAAATGGATGGATTGCGTGAAAGGCGATATATGTAAGAGGGGAGTGAGCGCAGAAATTGTATATGATAGAGGAGTTTGGAAGGAGAAAGCATGTTGCGCCGATCTCACTGGGAGGAGGGCAGGAGAATGATGATAGATTAATGAAAAATTAAAATATTAAGATAAAATTTCTAAGTCGTTGGACAGAAAACAGAGAAGATATTGCGAGGCTTAGGTACAGCGTTAAGCGAATGTACTGCGAAAGGCAAGATGTGTACATCTGTGAAACAGTAGGTCGTGATGAAAATTACTATAACCTTACTTTTCCTCACAATATTAAAATTTCCAAGATATTCAATAGGATTTTAAAGTTTTGTTTTATTGTGTTGGTTTACTGCTTGTTCATCGCGGCCCTTGAAGTATTGATTTCCATCTATGATCAGCAAACGAAGTTTTTGACCATCTTCATTTGAAGTGTTTACTGGACTCCATAAATATCACAAAGAGAGTGTCAGCTTGAAACACGAGGTCACGGTTCAAGTATTATGCTGTGGTTTACCCTAATAATTTCAAGGGTATAATAGTTCTACGGAGGTGGAGAGCGCAAAATCGCTCAATCTCTACCAATGGCCGTAGATGATCCAAAATCTTACATTATGACATAAAAAGCTCATGTAGACACAGTCAGTCACGAAAAAAAAGAGGATTCATTATGCAATTCGGGAAAAATCTTTGTAATCAACAAATTTATTTTATAAAGTTCCCTATCATCACGCCTCTTTATTAGATCTTTTAAAATGCTCCCAAGGTGTATCATACTTCATTGCAATTTGTATTTGATACGTAAAATGATGTATCGGTACACCAGGTGAGGTCACGTTCCCACAGGCACCCTCGACGGATGGTGATGGATCATTCAGATCGCACACATTGTTCTGTGCGCTTGCCGTTTGTCCCTCTGACAAATTTAGGGTCATTGAGTCCTTTCAAAGCATCAGATGATGAGATAAAAGAGAGAAAAAAATTAGTTCAATTCGACGTTTTATCTAATACCCAGTGTTTAAGTAGTTAATGTTTGCTCGTAAGACTTGTCAACATCTGAAAATTCTAGTCTAAAACGTTCTCCACATACAATTTGTGGTTATGGAGCGTGTCGATCGTTCCGTTACACGCCACGTTGGCAGCGTGTCGGCGGCTCAAATAATGTACCACGGATATGTACACCCACACCGCTCCCAGGCCTCAGCGTACAACAGTTATATGAAACGTCGTAGCCGCGTACAATTCAATATATTTTGGCGTAATTTGATGTTCATTAAAGAAGCAGCGGAGCCGCGAACCAGAACACAATGGTTGAATGGCCATTTGTCGTTGCTGTTGAGAAGCATAATGATTCTGAAGTAGTTAGTCGCGCGGCAGTTCGACACGCGCTTACGAAACGAAAATCTCGATGTTTTGTGTTAAACTAGTCGTTTTCGTATTGGCGGCCTCGATGGCGTGGTTTGATAAGTGCTCAAGTTGCTTTTGTTATATTTGAATACCCTCGAGGGGTGACGAATCGTTGATTCGAATGAACTACCGAACTTACCTTGTTGACTGCTTTTTCTTGTGGTTTTTTTCTCTTTCATCCAAGGATACTCGGGTACATTAAGGCCGCCTCCTGGAGACGGCAAATCCGGTGCGTATCCGGGTGGCGTGTGCTGAGGGCTCAGTTCTCCGGCCCCTAATTGAGGCAAGGCGGTCATAAATTCGGCCATTGAAGGTTGGCTGTTTATGAAGCCAGTTTCGGTGCATGTTTCGAGCATAGGATGTGGTGCTCCAGCAGCCGTTACCGCAGCCAACCAGAAGCTGTTGCCGCCGTGTTCTATCCGAGGGTGCTCCTGGCCGGGCACAGGGCCGATTGGCGGTGTGTTCCTTGCTTTCACGGCAAAATCCTCCTCCATCTCATCGCGCACCCCCATGCCAATTCTCGTAGGCTGTTTTCCTCTTATCGTTGGAAATTCTTCGCATTTTATCTTGCGCACGAGTGGATTAGTGTCGAGCGGCAGGGCGGCTGTGTTGCATATCTCTTGCATCGCTGCCGGTGTGAGCCGCGTTTTTCTAGTCGGTGAACATTCGCGTCACGAGTTGCCGTCGTCTTTTGTGACATGTGTTAACATTTTCCCTCGATTGCCATGTTACATTTTTGAAGATTTCGTAGGCTGTCCGTATGTCATCATCGAATCTGAAAATAATAATAGCATTGTTACTATCAAAAGTAGAGATTAAGTGAACTGCTTAAGGCCTAAGTCCGGAGCTTAGATCCTACTATCAAGGATTAATTTTGGATGGAAATTTGTCATACTTAACACGTATTCATCAGCGAACTTCTTTACTAAAGACGTTTCAATAAAATGACATTAAAATATATGTATACATGGATTTGTCTAATTGCTAGTGGTATAGTTATACTATAGATTTGGATTCGATCAAGTTGGCGAATACGTTTGAGACATCTATCGGCTGCTTTAATTATTTAACACAAAATAGATCTGGTCAAATCTTTACATTAAAATTATAATTTTAGAATTGAATAAAATTAACATACGCAGCGTGCCCTTGAGGTGGTCCGAACAAGGAACTACATTTTTAAAACCTCTCAGAGACACATGAGACAAAGGGTGCTGGAACCATACAGCTTTAATATTGTTCGCATAAACAGGCCGAGAGCTTGTATTGCAACGTCATGGAATAACAAAACCTAGATGCCGAATGAGGTTACTGTTGAGGAACTTTCGAGAATGTTGTAGAGTTTCCAACGTTATTCCGCTTAACACGTAATAAAACGAGTTATATTGAAGTCTTATAATTAAGCGAACGACAATGTAGTGAAAACATTTATTAATAGTGCACATTCAACTACAACCGTGCTATTTAGGTACCACAAGCACCAGTCACCGTCCTTAGAGAATAGAGAAACGTTCCAGTGAATTAACCCACAGACACAGCCCACTGAGTTTCTCGCCGGATCTTCTCAGTAGGTCGCATTTCCGATCCGCTGATAGATTCTGCGAAGCACTGCTCTTCCTAGGGCTAGTGTTAGCATCACTCCGGTTTGAGCCCCGTGAGCTCACCTACATGTAAGGGCGAAGCTGAAATAGCCTCTCAAGGCTATCCGCATAAGTAGGAAAAAAAAGAACAAAAGAAAAAACCGTGCTATAATTGAGTCGTCTATTATCAAAGGTGGCAATCTGTGCATTTGGACAAAAAAATTTTATTGATATGTCAATACAGATTGATTTGAATATAATCGTCTCCTTCAAAGAATACGGTTCAAAACCTGCATTAAATAAAGGTTAATACTTAACCTGTTATTTATCTAAGATGTCGTTCAGAAGAGTTTTATGACTGCCAATGGAATACAAAGTCAATAATTCGTTTTTCTGATTTACCAATAATTGTCCAAAAGTCATATTGCCGGCTTTGATAATAGTCGACTCAATTATGTGTTCTACGTCAGAATGTAAGCTAAAATCTTGCCTAATCGTTTTTAATTTAGCCCAAATCGAGAGGCGCCATATTAAGTGCAACGGGAGAAGGCTGTCTCGTGGTTATTTCGCAATTATACTCGGACGTTCGACATTACCGCGGCATAGACTCGAATAATTTTCACGAATAACATCGAAGCCGTGATAAACCCTAAAGTAATGAGCGCACAAAATTGTCTATTATACATAATTTGTCGAGCTTCATGAACTGGATTCTACGTGACCACCACACGATAATACAGATTAACGAAATTATGAATACAGTTTTGGAATACAGAGACTTTTACAACTACGATACTCGTAATAGTTATAAATAGACATGCTTAAATTAAAACCGACTTCGAATAGAAAAAAAAGATATTTCAAAACAAATTGATATATACTAAAAACAATAATGATCGAAATCGGTTGGCGTGATATTGAGTTATTCATCTATTTTTCGCGCACGTACTTAATGCAAATTTAATATTTATATGGTTTTCTCATGGATACCGTTATCAGAACTGGACTAAATTGCAATGGGACCATACGGAAAGTGTCAGCTTTCTAATAAAAAAATAATCATCAAAATCGATTCACCCAGTCAAAAGTTATGTGGTAACAAACATTAAAAAAACATACAGTCGAATTGAGAGCCTCCTCCTTTTTTGAAGGTGGTTAACAAAAGGACTATGAATGAAACTTGAGGTTAGTACAGATGCCATTTTGTAAATTCTATCGATTAATTGTATTATATGTATAAAATTAATACTATTATTATTATTATAAAACATGGTAAAATAGAATATTTATTTACATAAGAATCCTTTATTTTATTGTGTACTGCAGATCACAAGTATATCATTCGTAGATAATATCTATCCGTGCTTAGCTTATGGTGCGACTAAGAAATTCATCGAATAATAACTAATTTACTGTACTCGCCATCCGGTATTTACTAGCCGAAATAGGCCTTATGGTATCTATATCGTAAGGCCCATTTCGGCCGTGAAGCATTTCAGTTTTAATCATGGGACAACTCATGTGCAGTACAACTGAGACTTCGAACTTATGTTTCAAGTTAGGTGGCGATATCCACGTTGTGTAGGCTCCGGTAAGTAATCTCAAAGTGCACTCACCCATCCAATGAAATATAATGGAAATAGAACTGAAAAACGCCTGTACGTAACGGGGTACAAACATCCGAATAAAAGAAAAATAACCGATGTATCTTGATCGGAAGAATTAGTTATTTTGAAATGACGTAGCAACATTAGAGGTCAACAATTTTATTGGAAGAGAAATCTTCCGGTATTACAATGTAATGCTATAAACATTTTCTTTTTTATTTTATTACTAAATTCCGTGGATGAACTTACGGCCCACCTGGTGTTAAGTGGTCAAAAGCCCATAAACCTCAACCACGTTAATGCCACTACCCAACTGGAGGTCTAAATCTTAATTAAGTAGGCTTTGCGGTAGATATAGGCACTGTGTAGTGGTACATATCCGTGCGGGCCAAAACATGTAAATACTTTTCGTTAGAGTGTTTATATTACGAGAATCACTATACTATGTTATAGCTATGTTATCTGCTAGACGTCCCTCGTGGTTAAGAAAGAAAAAAAACGCCACAAATATTATCTCATTTAATTTTATTAAGTTAATCTTGTTTGTATAAAAACAACTATGATCATAATTTTAAGAAATGATAAATAGGCCAATCCCAAACAATACTTGTCTAACGACTGAAAATACAACACAACAATGTTACAATGGTGGACTTAATGCCTGAGGCATTCTCTACCAGTCAACCAAGGGTGGTGTAGAGAGTCCTGTGGTAGGTGCATTACTTATTGCGAAAATAACCAAATTGATAATAATATTACATACATATACAAACACATACATGGTATATATTCTATCTATGGTATCTTTATTATATAAAAAAATATTCGAACTTTTTTTTTATAATTGAAGTATTACTAGTGGCCCCGAGGCCTTTCCAGTTTCACCAGGACAGGTGGGCGAGCAAAGGCTCAGCCAGGAGGGGTGGGATTTGCTATCAGCTGCCCGAGCGCCTCCGAAGGAGACCTAACAACTCAAAAGTAGCTGCTTCGCGAATGAATCTACTACCGAATCGGAATCGCGACCCGCTGAGAAGATCCGGCGAGAAACTCAGCGGGCTGATGCATGGGTTAGGTTGCACGTCGAACCATTTACCGAGTTCGACGAGTACGGTTACCGGGATCCCTAATCCTGCTCCTAGTGTGAGAGCTGAAGGTATCTAATGCAAGAGTTATTGGATCTGATGGATCCGTCAGGACGTGTCTAGGGCGACGACGGTGATTTGCTCCTGCGTGATCAGGATTCGGGGATATTCGAACTACACTAGGTTTTTTTTTTGCTATATGCTTGGACGAGCTCAAAGTCCACCTGGTGCTAATACTGAAGCCCATAGACATCTAGGAAGTAAATGCGCCACCCACCTTGAGATGTTAGTTCTAAGGTTTCAAGTATAGTTACAACAGCTGCCCCACCCTTCAAACCGAAACGCATTACTGCTTCACGACAGAAATAGGCAGGGCGGTGGTACCTACCCGCGCGGACTCACATAAGGTCCTACCACCAGTAATTAGGCAAATTATAATTTTGCGGATCTCATTTTTATTACACGATGTTATTCCTTCACCGTGGAGGTCAATCGTGAACATTTGTCGAGTACGTATTTCATTAGAAAAATTTGTACCCGCCTGCGGGATTCGAACACCGGTGCATCGCTCAACACGAATGCACCGGACGTCTTATCCCTTAGGCCGCGACGACTTCATACGTCGTACATTTTTATATTAGCAATGGAGAACGTAGAGCACGTGTCGCTAGTCTTTAATAGGTGAGGTGCGAGTCACGTTGCAGTCGTGCGTGGAAGGCACCCCACTCGGACGAGATGTAAACTCGAAAACGTTCGCTACATCCTATACTAGTTGTTTGACGGTCCGCGCGCCCACTGAATGTCAATTAAAATTCAAACCGCGTCCGAAATACGATTTTTTCCAGTGGAATTTGCGGCGAGCCCGAGAGAAATGGTCGGAGCGCGCCTCCTTGTTTTATTTTATTCTCGCAAACGAAACGGCTGGCGTTTAAATCGTTTTTAATGCGTACGGGTTTTGCCTTGTGTTCTGAATTAAAATTTTCAGGACTGACACCTATTTAGATAAGCACAATGTAGGTCGTTTTGTGATGAAGGGACTGTCTATTGTCTATGTGGTCGGATCTTATTTTATTATAAATATTATTTCACAATATTAAATATAAATATATATTTATTGCTTTGGTGCGTGGACCATCTCACGGCCAAGCTGGTGTTAAGCTGTTACTGGAACCCATAGACATCTACAACGTAAATGTCGCCACCTACCTTGAGATATAAGTTCTAAGGTCTCAGTATAGTTACAATGACTGCCTCACTCTTCAAAACGAAACGCATGACTGCTTCACGGCAGAAATAGGCGGGGTGGTGGTACCTACCGTTGCGGACTCACAAGAGGTCCTACCACCAGTAACATATT